GATCTATCTTAAATTTGTCTTTCTTGAGTTTGGGACTATTATGTGTTTAAATAACATTTTTTTTTGTTTTTAATTCTAATTTCGTCGGAATTGATGAAAACTCCCTAAAATGTGCAATTTATAGAGGAAATTGGCCTACCGTAACAAGAAATGCGAGCAAAGAATTTGAGAATTTTAGGCACTTTCAGAGGATGCATTTGACAAGTAGTGGGGAAAGATTTTCCAAAGATGGATATTTTTTCCTTGTCCCCCAGTGTTTTTAATTCTAATTTCGTTGGAATTGATCAAAACTCCCTAAAATGTGCAATTTTTAGAGGAAATTGGCCCATGCTAACAAGAAATGCGCGCTAAGCGCGCGAAATTTGAGGTTTTTTAGGTATTTTCAGGGGATGAAAAGGGCATTTATAAAGGGGTGGGGAAAATTTTTCAAAGATAGATATTTTCCCCTTGTCCCCCAGTGGTTAAGCCATCGGGCAGCATAGATCAAAGGAGTTATGACAGTTTTGAAGTGGAGAAGGGGTTGCAGGGTGTTGTGAGTCTGGTCATTATGATATCTTCCTTTCTTGTCTTTATTTTTCTCTTCTCTTTTTCTTTTTCTAAATTTTCTTTTTTTCTTCTTTCTCTTTCCCTCCCTCTCCCCTCTTTCTTTTCTATTATTACCCAGCCCGGTACGACGGCTTGGTCAGCCCGGTAAAAACCGTAAGGGGAGGGGAAGTTTTCCCCTCCCCCCCCCCGCGCCTGTTACGACACTGGATAACACGCCAATCATTCCCCCTCCCCCAATGAAAAAAACTTTTCTACGCCACTGCTATAAATAATCCTTGGTGTAGAGAGACACACGTAGGAAAAGTGTAAACAAAAAAGGCGAAATGCACAGGGAGGATTTAACCCTTGACCTAAAGGGTGAGAAACCAACGCATAACCACTGCGCCATCAGATCCCCTTCTTATTCAGATCATTTTTAATTAGATTTCTAGTCTAGAAAATTTCAAAAGTTACAAAGCCCAATGATGAACATGTAGCTACTACTTAAGCGCTCTTTACGGCCGCTAGGTGGTCACGGCCACGCCCATACGCACAATGGCTTATTCTTCTACCTTTACCAATGACTACCAAAAAACAAGTTATTATAATTATTATTATCACTACTATTATTAATTTCAATAACCCGTATATCATTCAAGAAGAGTAATTAGTTTTATTGTCTTACCAATATCACAGTTATCTCCAACATATCCAGTTCCAGCACAGAGACACTCATACATGGAGTAATCAGGTGAAGTAATATTACAGACTCCAGAATTGTTGCAGGGATTGGGACCAACACATTCGTTACCTAAAAAGCAAATAAAACAATAATTTTACATAATGAATTTAGTGGCATAATTTGTGATTTTGTATGAAGTTGGTCCAGTAGCAAATGGTCGGCTGGCAATGGGCCTAAAGTGAAAAAAGGTGGTCTATGTGGCAATTGGCCAGGTGGCACATTCACTTTATATATATTCACTTGGCAACGGGCCACTCAACCAAGTAAAAAAAAATACAGGCACCCTTCAACATCATAATCATCAGCCCATATTTAATAAGATAGAGTAGTATTTTAGTGTGAATCACACCTAGGATAACCCACTAATACCCCTTTTAAACTGCAAGCAAAACTCCGGACAAAACCCGGGATTTTGTAATACCCGGGCTAGAAATTCCCCGGTTGTGGTTGGTGTGAACGTCAAAAAATACAACCCAGGTTGCCAAACATCCCGGGATCGATGTGCGGGATGCATTGTTTGTTTTTCCCATACAGTTCCGGCTGAAATTATACAGGCCACTATTAAAGGTCATTTATGTGAACTGATAACATGAATAATGCATACCTGCTTGACACTTCTCGCGAGTCGGGAAAGTGGTGTTCGCTGCTTGTGGAATATGAAAGCTACGGCGCAGTTAGGGCATGGAGGAGTTAGTTTAGAGAAACTGAACTAATTCCTCCATGGTTAGGATAGGCCAAAATCTCTTGGTAGTCGGTCGACAGGAAAAGTGTGACAATTACTGTAATTATATCCCTATGACTAGGCAGTGTTTACGTAAAACAACGGTCTTTGAAAGTATAAAAGGGCAGCATTGAATTTCTAGTCGATTATTTTAGTAGTGTAAAGTAGCAATAATTAACTGCTATATTACAAACATTTCGTTCATTCAATATAAATAAAGGCATATAACAAGCACATATATTATAAACACTAATTTTACGATATTCACATGATATGACGTACTGTTTAGGCTGTGTCTACACAATTAAATATTGATTAGATTTTATATAACACGATCAAAATCAGATGGAAGTAAAATTAGCTTTCACTGATTTACAGACGGTTCTACAAAAATCCTTAAACGTTGCCAACCAATGAATCATGCAAGAATACTGAAACGGTCACTGTCCGTTAATTACTGTAATAATAGGCAGGGATTTTTTCTCATAAAAAAAATCTTTTAATTGTAAAATTGTAAGTTAACTGTGTCCGAAGAACTCGTAATTTGTTTCCGAGCATTCTAAACGTATTTATCCTTCAGAATCAGTACTACTAATACTATATGGAGCATACAATTGCTACAACACACGTTATACTGTATATAAGCCTAACTGTAGGCCAGACCTGTCAAGCCGTACTTATTCGCCGTAAGTCTTACGCATTCCAATCAAATTTTACTATCTTACGCAAATACCGGCAAAACTTACGCTTATCCTAAAATTTGAGTAAATTTTGTTTCTTTTTCAATTTGTTATGAATGTTACTATAACTAACATCCGTCATCATAACATTCTACCTCCAGATTTCAATAATTACTGTATCTGAGATCATTATAAACTCACTTACAGTGTATATCGATTAGATACCGTATGCCATTTAAGCCAAAGGCCCATTGACCCCGACGTGAGCCCTTGGCGGCCCCCTGGACCCCTGACACTGTTCGTGCTGTCGGCACTCATTATGTGTCACCCGATCTTACTCTTTGAAATTTCTCAAGGTTGACAGGTATGCTGTTGGCCTACTCAAATACGGCGCCAGATTCAATATTAGGCCTACTCCTTTTTTATACTTTCGAAAACCATGCTGGGCCTACATAGAATGTATCTAATCTACTACACGTTTTACACTGTCTTGACTACCAAGGCCTATTCACTACATTTTGGCCTAGTGACTCCATTCGTTCATCTACGCATAAAACTCGATACACCGCTGACTCTAGCCTGGTTCTCACGAGAGACCTGGTATCCGGATCGGGAGCTAAATGATACCGCTAACCGTTAGCACCTGTTTTAGAACGTCCGATCGGTTAGCGCTAACCGATAGCGGTATCCGGATACTACTAACGGTTAGCAAGCGCTATCGGTTAGCAAGTTGAGCGCGTTTCTATCGTCAACCAATCACACGTAGGTGTTTACAAGTTCCAGTTTCGTATTGGCCATGACCAGTGATTCGATCATCATATTCTTGATATCCGGATCGGGAAATCTCGTATGGAAGCACGGCAGCTAACGGTTAGCATGATCCGGATCCTGCTAACCGTTAGCTGCCGTGTGAGAACATAGCCTCTGCTTCGTGAGGGGGAGTTCGTATGCATATTCATGCATATCAGTTCTCCTAACTGACCTTAAATAGCAGCCTCTATAATTTTTGCCGGAACTGTATGGGAAAAAAGTAATGCATGCGGGCTGCATTCAGCGTTGGACAACCCGGGTGCATTCCAGAATCCACCGAATTTGATTCAGGAGTTAGGCCTTGCCTGGCGACTATCGCAGCTGTTGTTAGGTAGGTCTAAACTTTGCAAGCAACGGCCTAGGCCTAGACACTTTTCAAATTAAAGCACATGCGCTCCGGTATAGACTTGATATCAAAACTGTTGATTTAATTCGCACAATTTAAAAACGATCTGCATATATATTACTTCAATATTATTATTATTAACAATAATAATAATAATAATAATAATAATAATAATAATAATAATAATAATAATAATAACAATAATAATAATACATATGAACGTCTATTTAAAAACATAATTTCATTATTTTCTTTAAAAAAAATATTAAACGTTAACTAGCACCACATATCGACTTTTGAATGGTGAAAATCGGCTCAGTATAACCCATTTTACCGAGTAGAAAATTTAAGTTAGTAAAACATACGGTACTGCTGTTACATGTTCTAGTTTTCCCCCACCGTTGTATTTAGGTACACGCTACAGTACACACAATGAGCCTACAACTTTGGATAGCAGAGTTCCGCACGAGTGATTTAGCCTACATCTCTATGTCTGAGTTAACGCATGAATGGTTTCATGTACCTTCCCAGGACTTTTTTCCTGCCCAGGTTTTTGCCGAGAGTTCCGCTTGAAAAATTTCGTGTAACTTTTAGTATCTGCGCATGACCATAGGCGTAGATCCCAGGGGATGGGGGAATATATCCCCCAATATTTGACAAAGGGGGGGGGGGGAGGGTCCATTGTATCATCCCCCCCCCCCAATATTTTGACTATGTATGGGATAAAATGGAGCTTTACACACAAAAGACTGTCACAGAAATAATTTGCACTGTCTTATGCGCTTACAAAGATGAAAATTAGTATAATGTATTAATGTTGATAACAAAATTATTTTATCTGCTACCAATCTAAGCTCTTCTTTCCTTGGATGTTAGATGTACTTGCAAAGAGAGTCATCATGGTTTTATTTATTACAAACATATTCTTTCACCATCTATACACATTGAGGCCCTTCTTTTAGGTTAAAATGATCTATCTTAAATTTTTCTTTCTTGAGTTTGGGACTATTATGTGTTTTAAAAGGATAAAACTAAAAAAGCCCTAAAAAATGCGCGCCAAGCGCGCAAAATATTTTTGTGTTTTTAATTCTAATTTCTCTCAAGCCCGGTAAAACCGTCAGGGGAGGGGCAGTTTTTCCCCCCCCCCCCCCCCCGCGCCTGTTACGACACTTGCTAACACACCAATCATCCCCCCACCAATGAAAAATATTTTTCTACGCCACTGCGCATGACATGTTTCCATTGCAAGATTTATGTGTTAAGAAGTTGAGCATAATCTCGGAAGAGAGGCCGGAAGCTGACTCTCCGGAGTTTTAAAAGTTATTCTTATTTTTTATTTTTATTTAATTTATTTAATTTTTAGTTATTTTTTTTTCTATTTTATTTTATTTTTATTTTTTTTGTAGCACTGAATACCCATAATTGACTGATAAATCACAGTTGTTACAATATTTTCATGTATTAAGAAGTTATTAAAATTTCACTAGGAAAGAAATTAATACTTTATAATTAACTAATAATTATTGTTATTTCCTAATAATTGTTGTTATTGGAGGGTAACCCAGATGTGTGCACTGTTTTACACTGGGCCGACTATCACAATACTCTATATAAAATCTAAAATTTCTAATTAAACACACACACAAAATCATAAATCTTAAACAAAAATTTGAATGAAATGAAACAAGAAAATATTAGTGTAGATCTTGCTACATTTTAAAATGTCTATTGAGTGAAAGTATGTAAACATTATTCTTCGAGTAAACAGCCTTCTAAAGTTATTTTTCGAATACATTGTTTACTGGAATTAACTACCAAAATATTGTTAAATAATTGTTTGTTGAAAATTCCCACAACTAGACATGATTAATTGATAGCAAGCTATATTTAATGATAATAATGTATGTGTGCTGAAAATAGAAAAAAAAATCACACAGATGAGTATAATCGTTACATAAAAAGAAAATGACAATAACATATACAATCCTAACATGCACAAAAAAAACATAAACTAAGTCAGCAGAGGTACTGTAGGTACACAGAAGACTATACAAAAAAGAAATAAATAAAACGTTTCTCTTGTTTACTATATACCTATTGCCGTTAAAATTTGTTTCATGATTAATTTACTAGATCTAACATTCATATAACACTATGCTTAGAGATACTGAGGGATGAAAGTAGTAACATCAGGTGTAACTTGAAAAATATAGGCCTAAGTCATATTACTACCTAAAAATGGAAAATTAAAATAACATTTGTGCATGATCATCTAAAAGGGTAGGTAGGCATACATCATACCTAGGCCAGCTTAGGCAGAATAACAATAGTAATAATAAAATGAATAATAATAATAATAATGGAGGGATGTAATATATTGATCATGACAACGCCCTCTAGAATATATTCTGGGAGTCGGAAATTAAAAAGTTATGTGGAGCAGTCATCTTATTGTGGTAGTTGTTTATTTATATTCAGTTGTATTATAGGGTGTGCATTTCAAAGTGTACGCTTCGCCCCACAGAGCGTAACAGGATTGTGTTGTGTGGTTCGACCATCACACAGATATTTAGGCTAAATCGATTCGTGGAAATATCACTTAGTGTATTGTTGAAGAAAATGGAAATCAAGTGGACCATAAGCTCCTTTATGAAACTGCATACGATATTGCTCAGCATGATAGGACAGATGTGAAAAGTAGCCAACTCTGTGTGAAAGCTGAAAATCTAGGAAATTATCTCACTTCTACAACCTAGATATGTGCTCTTTATAAATACTTTTATTTATTAATTTATTTAGCTGTATCTGCTTTCACACTACACAACGTTTTATTGTTACTTCCTGCAAGATAGCACGGTATACGGCATGTCTCATTATGAAGCTAGGGTGAAAATTTCTTTTTGGGTGGGATAAATCCTGCTACCAGGGATTGAACACAAAACCTGGGATTAGAAAGC